GAAGCCAAATCACAGACTAAGATGCCAAAGCTCACTGCCTTTTCTGGCTCCTTTAAGCTATCAGCAAGATGCCCTTTGCAGAATGGAATAATCAGGGACAACTTATACTCTATATTCACAGCAGAAACAATCTACTATATAAGTATTTTCCAGCTTGCTTTATGTCCTTTCACTAGACTGGAGAAGGCTGATACAGAAACAGAATAAAACTTCCACTCCTGTATAAGGATCATGTTTTCCTTCAGTGGTTATCACTTCTCTCTGTTCTCTGCTAGAGATGTGCTTTCTTTATACCTTGGTGTTCTAGCTGCCTAGATTGCAACAGTCCATGTTTTGGGGTCTTTCTGCTGTTGTTCAAAGTCTGTACGAAAACAAACTGATTCTGGAATGATTTTCTGTATGAAAGAACAAAAATAACAGCACAGACAATGCAATACTTGTGTTAACTTCAACATCGCCTTCAAAATAGGATGCATCAGCAAAATTCTGTCTAGCACCTCCTCATATGCACAGATGGCATGAGAACTGCTAGTGAAACAGCTTGGTTTCTTTCTTTCTCACTTTCTTAGCCTTGATTTTTCATCCTTGATATAAATAATAATTTTCATGTCTTTTGAATTTTTATTGCACGAGATCATGTTTTTAGTCTTGCACAGCCATATTTCTTTATTAAGAGTTTCAAAAATACCTGAATTATGTTCCTTGCCATGACGCTTTTCTTTCTATAGTTATTTTTGGCTCGTCAGATGTCTCCCAAGCCTTCCTCAAGGAGAATGACTTCATTTCTCAGTCTGTGTCACTGTTTCAGTGCTCTTTTGAATAGGATATTGGAGACACTTGCCTGGGTAAAAAGCCATCAGTCCATAGTAAACTGGGCCTAAACAACACCAAGTGATATCCAGCTATCTTACCTCCTTTCCTCTCTGTGATCATCTCTGATTTTAAATAACCTTTCCTTGATGTTATGGAAATTTTCCAACTTATTTCTTTGAGTAGGGCCTGGCATGAACAGCTGCTTGAGAATCAGCTTTGATTTCTTCCCATCAGTTCTTCAAAGCATTTCCTTTGTGAAAACTGGACTAGACAATGTGCATTCAGCCTGGCCTCTTTCAAACCCACAATCACATGCAGTGCTAGGACTTGCAGCTCCTACTTACCAAATGTCAGGATTCATCTAGGGAGACAGTTTGAAAGAGGCTGCCAGGGAGCCAGAAAAAACCACGCATCTGTATGTGAGTGATTCATAACCCGATCAGGCATAGAATCAGAGAATCACAGAATGGTTTGGTTTGGAAAGGGCCTTATGATCATCTAATTCCAACACCCTGCCATGGACAGGGGCACCTCACACTAGACCATGTCACCCAAGGCTCTGTCCTTGAACACTGCCAGGGATGGAGCATTTACTTACCACTTTTTTGGGCAGCCTGTTCCAGTGCCTCATCACCCACACAGTAAAGAACTTCCTCCTTATTCCAACCTGAACTTTCCCTCTTTAACTCTGAACCCATTACCTCTTGTCCTGTAACTACAGTCCCTGATGAAGAGTCCCTCTTCAGCAACCTTGTAGGCCCCCTTCAGATCATGGAAGGCTGCTATGAGGTCTCCACACAGCCTTCTCTTCTTTAGGCTGAACAGTCCCAATTTGCTCAGCCTGTCTTTATATGGGAGGTGCTCCAGCCCCGTTATCGTCTTGTGGTCCTCCTCTGGACTTGCTCTAACAGCTCCATGACCTTCTTATACATAAGACATCTGTAATAACTTACGAAGTTACTGTACTCCAGCTTAGGCATGGTAAAAAGATAATCTTGAGAGAGAATAAAAATTTTCAGGTGTGGACAGGCACAGTGTCCTCCCTGCTCTCTCCTTACCAGGTTGTTCAAGGAGACAGAGTCTGTACTACATCCAGTAGGTGGCCAAAACATTTCTGGTGGACAAGAGAGCCTGACATCTCTCTGTCCATCCCCATGCCCTCTATGAGTAACCCTAACTAAACCGCATTGCTCAGAATCTTGGTCAACTGGACATTGGCAGCATTAGTCAATCCAAGTTACCCATGCCTGATTTCACTAGCTGTGGTGTCTTTACATAATGCTCACAAAACATGATTTGTTCTGAACTTCCTAAAACAACTGGGCATGTAATGTTTCTTATAATACAATGTTTAAAGTTTTATCACTGTCTTTAGAAAGCTATAATGGACACAAGAAGCCTAAAGCTATGAGTATGCTAATGAAGACATATCCTGGGAATGTTAATGAAAGAGCCTTCAGGAGAACAGAGCAAGGTCATCTTTGCTCTTTTGTAACTCCACAAATGTACCCAGGTCTCCAGCATATCTCTTGTATCAAAAGAGTCTGTGGCCTGAAGGACTGCACAGGCCAGACTAAGAGGTGGAAGTACTCAAAAAAAGAGGTGTTTCCAGGATTAACTGAAAAAGCTTTCCAGCATGAGAGGAGGGAGAGAGCAGCACAGGTAGCCCCATGAGACCCGAGGGAGTGAAGAGTATGAAAACCTTTATCCCCATTTTACAGGAGAGAAAATTAAACTGAAAATTACTTTCCCATAAAAAGAAGGGTAAGATGATTTACACAGCACGAAGTGAAGTAAGGTGGCATTTCAGAAAGGAGTTGATTTAAAAATAAGTACAAATCTTGTACTGTACAGGTGCTTTGTGAGAAACACCTAAAACCGGAGATGAATGGGAAAGAGAACTGGTGTAGACAATAGCCAAAAAAAGAAAAAGAAAAAAAGAGAAAACAGAGTTTCAAACTTCCTTCTTGATCGAGTGATTCGGTCTTTCCACTTCCATTTAAAGTAGTCAGGAAAGGATCTTCATAACCTTTTAGTTTATCTTCACCAAGAAAAGGTTGCTTGTCTAGTCTTTGCTGAATCCTTACCAAATACCCACAACTCTGGTTTCAGGAAATTACGCATAATTTTGTGAAGTTTTTGTTTTTTTTTTAAGAAGCCTTTACGTTAGAGTCAGTCTGTTGTGCTGGGGGGGATGCATTTGCATTCCTTGCAATATTTGCCAGAGAGACTTTCTTCTGCATAAACAGATGATGACGATGATGATGGCTTGACTTCGTGAACGACGAAGGGCTTTACCCACCCTTACTACAAGACAAATGTGAGTAAACCCTTTGGGCCTGCGCAGTGGACTTTTTAGGTGAGGCACAGCATGTGTGGAACTGGCCCCACTGCTTGGCATGTTTGCCAGCATCCTAGAAATTACATGTATAGGATGTGTAAGCAAAAAACACAGGATCATTGACAAGGAGACTACTACTGGCATCTGAGGAATAAAAAGTGCAGAATGAGAAGGGAACACAGTGTTAAGGCAAGCTAATTCATTTGTCCTTTCCTTTGGTGCTCATCACCACACTAAGCCATTGCTTTGGAAATGCTGTTAACTTCTTCCAATTCAGCCAGGGGCAATTTAAATATACCTCTGCAAGAGATGATGATGAGTGTAAACTTCAAATGCACATTTAATCTCTTATCTGGGTTTTCGTGTGTGTTTGTATTTTATCTTTAACTTCATCAACAAAAACATGCTCGTTTTTGGTTTCCTGTGCAGGTCTACCCTGCACCAACACACAAAAACACACTTCAGAAACTCTTCAATACAATGGGGGAAGAGAAAGCTGAGAAAAGAGGTCTACTGCTTACATGCAGTCCTTGGAAGCTTTGTCTCTCTCTCTTAAACATAAGCTAAAAGCCCTCAAAATAATCCTCCAAAGAGACTTTATTTTAATGAATCTGATTGACTTTTCCTTCCAGTTTCTGAGAAAGAGCCCAATTAGTATTTTCCACCATTTTTTGGAAAAGCTTTTATACAGGATAAAATTGGAAGTATTTCAGTCAAGTATTTTCTTCCTACGACTAGGATGTAAGGAAAAAAAAAAAAAAGGCAAGATTTGACATTAAACATAAGAGGTTAACAGCATGATATTGCCTTTCACCAGCTGAGAAGCTGCATCAGCTCCTGGATATGAGCTCAACACATTCAGTGCTCCATCTCCCAGATCCATTCAGTAGGTATAGATCTAGCTGGCAAGGCTAGCATTTTCCATCCCTTCCTTGTGGTTGAAAATGAAATGCCTGATTTTACTAAAAAACTTAGAAATATTAAAACCAAAGAATATGGTGCAATACCTGCACCATGTGTTGCCACTGAACCAGCATATCCACGCTCTATGTACCAGTCCCTTGTCCCAGTCTAAGCAAATAACCAAAAGGAAGAAATATTTTGGGCAAGATGAGGCATGCAGTGTGGGGCTCACACTTTCCTTAGCTCAGAGAAAGCATTCAAAAAACCCTCTTCTTCCCTCATTTAAAAACCTACACAAATATATTTGATATTAAATTAAAAATTAATATGAACTCCTGTGCCCAATTCTTCAACAGCTTCCACAAATTTCCAGCTACTGGCAACTGGAGAGCTCTTTTCAGTTTCATAATTGAGCTGATTAGAAACACATCAAGGATGTTTAATCTTCATCTCCATGTACCTATTTTAATGCCAGCAAACATTGCAAATTTGCACCTGGGACAATATCTGCATGTCTTGCTCTGACTTTCTTCTCTTCAAAAGAGAGGTAACAATTGCAGGTACCATTACATTGCATAGACTAGGGACTGAAATCTCATTTTCAAAATAACTCAGGAAGCTTCAAGACTGTGGGTTTCCCAGGGACTACTGGACACTGTATCTGCACTCTAGTGAAATTACTTACTTCACTTGTGAATACCAAGCAAGGCATTTACTTGGTATTTACACTGTAGGACACATGGAAGCTCAGGCACTTAATCAGTGTCTGTATAGCATATATGAGACTGATTGCGTCAGCATTAGCAGACCACTTTATCATTTTTATATGAGCAGAAATTCCTTCTGAGGAAGGGAATTTGCTGTAAACCCATTTTTTGCCAGGTACGAATATCACACCCAAACCCATACCTACCTGAAACTTCTTCCTCTGAATGACAATGCATGCATTTTGAAAAAATTTATTTATTTTCACTGCTTTATAATCTCTCTACTGTAGTGTTAGCACTTAACATAAGCATCCACTCTTCTACTGTTCTATTTACAATCCATTGAAATGTATACTCTACAAATACAATACATATTTTCAGAAATGTATGGGAAATACACAATTTTGTAGGGTTTAAAAAAGTTACACTCATCTGTACAGGATTCTCAAATCATCCAAAAAAGTAAAATTTACAAAGCAGTATGCACACAGCTATGTAAAGGCAGGTGCTACAGTGACAAAGCAGCAAACTTGCTAATACAATAAAATACAGAAAATTAAAGTGTTTTGGGGCACCAGATAACACATTTAGTACCGCTGAAGTTGTAAATTTAGTAATACCCATATTTCTAGAAACATGTAACTGCAAACCCAGAGAACGTTCTGAAAAATATTAAACATTATATACACGAGGTAAATGTACCTTGGTCTTTTAAGAGGTAATTTGAGTTTAAAGCAACTGATATGGTGAAGGTTTTTTAAAAAAAAACAAAAAACCAAAAACTTACAAAACAAAAAACAAAACCAAACCAAAACACAAAATGATTTAACACCTTGCAATCCTTTCAATGGCACTATATAAAGAAGGAACTAACTAAAAGGTGAATTTCATGGCAATCACTCAGAATGATTACTGGGAAAAAAAAAAATAGCCTCTTATTTCATTTGACACCTTCATGTCCCCATATAATCAATCCCAATGTCTTTACCTGCACACAAAGTCTTTCTTAGGATTGTAAGTGGAACCATTGGAAGGTGACAGTGTGTCATACTCGGAAAGTCAGCTTGAGAAACATCCCAGAATTCCAGCTTTTAAGGTTGGAAGGTCCCTGAAGAATTCCAGCATTCCAAAAATCAACATTTTCGGCTTTTCAGCATCAGACCATTTCCAATGCTCCCTATTTTCCACATCCATATCCATGTGGTCACAAGTCTGTAAACCAAACTGAGGCTTCAATGCTACCAGAATGTCAAATTGATTAAATCCACAAAAGTTAAGTGAATGTATAATGTACGAAATATTTACAATAAACATTTGCATCAGTATTCATCAGAAAATGTTTTGGTATATACTTGAAATGATACAAAATTAATATTCTGAATGCTAAAATATTTTGGTCCCCCTGGATTTCCAAGAGCAAATCTGGTGATATTACAATCTTAATTTAAAAAATACTTATATGTACCTGTGTCCATATATATAAGATATGATCTTACACAGGTAACATTTAAAGTTACATAATATATACAGACACAGCCTTTGTAAAAGGTGTTCAGTTTATATAATGGAAAAGAAGAACAAAGCTTGAAGTTGTGGTGTCAGAACTGAGGATACATACAGCCTTATTCAGAATTTCCCTTTCTGCATTCCAATATGAATGTGTCCCAAAATAACATTCCTAACATCACACACTGTATCAAGCATCCTTCCTGTGCTTTGTTTTTTGCAAGCCTCTATTACAAAATGAAAAATTAGAACAATTTAAGAATAGTTGCTAGCAATTCAGGAGAATGAAGACTACTAGGTGTTTGAGATGACACGTATGTAACAAACCAGCGTAGAGTTGACTGAAAAGTCTGCATGCTGTGATGTTGCTCAGCTGCCTTAGATTCTCTTCTAAATGCAAAAGAACTATCCTTACATTTTAGGAAACTAAACATTATATTTGTAGGTGCTAAAATAAGCCCCTAATGAAATTATTTGATGAACTTCATTGGAAGCTCTCTGATGTTACCATCAAGATTACTACAGAGATCTGAAGCATGCCGGTAGCATGACGATTCTGAAATATGAACTGTACCATTTGTATCTATGGTAAAGATCCAGTTATGCCTATAAAAAACTCTCCTGTGACTATATGCTGAAGAATGAAATGGAAGCAGAGTTAAGGTTGCTGCGTTTGTTGACAACAGGATGGATACTGATGTGTTCTGAAGAGTAGGAATTTAGGTGGCATATTAATTACCACTTTTAAATACTGAAATACTACCAAGTGTTTTGGGTATTAATAAAAGCAAAGGACAACCAGACTCTTCCTAAAGTGGAAATAAAAAAAATAATCCTGTTAACAGCAATTTTTTAAAGAGAAATTTCCACATTAATTTTCCCCATCCCCTCCAGAAGTTCTACATCTGGGCAAAGAAGCAATTCAATTTCTACAGAAGTTTGCAAAAATCTTGTAATACCCTTAAAACTTTGGGCAAATCTTGACTAAAGCTATGTATATTCTTCTGTGTTCTTATGACAACACAAGCCATCATAAGCTTTGTTCTTGTAACTATGACGAGAATTGCTGAAATCCTCTGGTATTTGTATCCAAAGACCTGCAGCTCAGCACTTTCTGCAGCTCACCGCTTTCTGTGTATGAGGCACACACAAAATACATGCACATAAAATTTTTAAGCAGCTTTGAACTTTCTCATAAAAAAGTCCAAATAACTTCTCCCTAATTACAGGTGCACTTAATCCTTGTTTAACTGCAAACACTGTTCTTTGAGCCTTAAGACTCTGAAGAACTGCACAGAAAATATGCTTTTCATATTTGATTTAATGGAGCAAAATCTCCCTTAAGAGCATCTTACTCCTCGTGCTACTTTTCTGAAGTAGGTAGGTACTTCAAGCATTTCAGAAGTACCACTTGATAAAAAACAACAAAAAACTCCCTTAAATATAATTATGACTCATGACTTGACAATTACGACAGTGAATTAACTATCTTACACTATTTAAAACTCCCACAGTGGTTTAAAGGGTCAGATTTTGGTAAAATTAAAGGTATTTCATGAATTATGCACTCACTTGCTGAAATGAGTGTGAATTAGATCTTAGCTAGGCAAAGGAACAGTTGATCATTAATTTGTTTTTTGAAACCAAAAGTACCTTAGGGTTTGTACACTCCTACTGTTTTGCATTAAAAGACTCAAAAGCGGCACTTACTGGTATAATACAATCTATTTTGAAGGCAATGTAATGTTCTGAGAAAGTGGAAAAAAACCCCAGTGATCATGTATAAAGTACAGTTGCATAAATTATGTTCCCACAACTGAATGAGGTCAATTTGTAAATCAAAGAGTCCAAACGATGTACTACCTTAACAGCTAGCTCCAACAGTACATTCACAATCTGAATCAAAGAGCCTTGCCGGTGGTTCAGAATAGTCAATGTACCAGCCAGGAATAAAGTTGCTTACAGAGCCATCAATGCACTCTAGAACAAATTAGTGAACCAGTTCAATTTTAAATGCGACCTCCTGTTTTTAGCACAGTTAACTAGAAGACCAGCTATCAAAATAAAAAATTATAGGTTAATAAAAATAAAACTAGACTACACAATGTTTTGCAAGTAACCTGGGAAAGAGGTTCATAGTGCACAGAAAGGACCCAACACAACTGTTCAGCACGTCCACAAAAATCCTAGTAAGTGACGTTCCTATGAAGTACTAAAAGGCAGCAATATCCTTCTGTTCCCCCAGTGAGGTAGAACAATTAACCTTCTTAACACGCCACTCTGGTGCAGACATGGATTTTTACAGTATTCTTCGGTAGCGAATCCAGGATTACATCTTTATCCCCTCCTGTTGACTAAGTTGTGATAACGTTTTCTTAATGCGCAAAGCTGTTAGCCTAGCGGCTCCATTGGCATACCAGCATTCCCGCATAATTTTTGCCATTACTCGTAACGCCTGTAAAGGAAAGAGAAGCAAATATATGTACTGTGGTTCCAGTGAAGATCAGGTAGCCTCTGTCCTACCTTATCCTCTTCATCTGTTTCTGAAGTCTATTATTACCCATGTATTTATTTCACACGTGCTACAACCCAGTTCTCTCTTCCATCATATCTTTATTAATTTCTCATTCCTATTGTAGCCTACCACAGCTATTCTCTTCAGGTCTGAATCAGAAAGAATTGGTTCTAGCCCTAGATGGGTTCCTACAGTAAGCAATATGAACAAAGCTGGCTGGAAAGGAAAGTGCTCACTGCTGTGCATACTAATGCCTGTGCAGTGACTACCAGAATAATGAACTCACCCCAGAATCAGGTAAATGCTTCTAGAGAGGCATGGTCAGTAGTCGCCACCGCATGTACACTGCAGTTCTAAGTCTTTGGCTTACTAGAGCTTCAGCATCCTAGTAACAGCGTTCATCTTTCAGTAAGCGTGTAAAGTACAAATTCTGAGATGTACAAACTACTAAGGCCATCGGAATTTTTGGTGAAAATTCTTAAACCTTTTTTTTTTTTTTTTAAAGAAAAATTCCTATTTTGGTCAGTCTGTAGTATACCTCTTCATTACACACTGAAAGGGCAAAGACCCTTGAGTGAGTTCCAAGCAAGCATTTAAATGAGGCAGCACAGCACTGTTGAAAGAGATAACCAGCCTAGTTACAAACCAATTGGCACAGACCTGATTACCTCATGTATGTTTACTACCCTTGTCGTGGGTTAACCCCAGCAGGCAGTTAAGCCCCACACAGCCACGCACTCACTCCCTGCCCAGTGGGATGGGAGGGAGAATCACGAGTGCAAAGTGAGAAAACTTGCAGGTTGACACGAAGACAGTTTAATAAGGGGGAAAAAAAACAAGCCAAAACAAATCCTGCCCCTCTACTCTGCTCTCATGAGACCTCACTTGGAGTACTGTGTGCAGTTCTGGTGTCCTCAACAGAAAAAGGACAAAGGAACAAGTCCAGAGGAGGGCATGAGGATGATCAGGGGACTGGAGCACCTCCAGTATGAAGACTGGCTGAGGAAGTTGGGGCCGCTTAGCCTGAAAAAGAGAAGGCTGCATGGAGACCTCATAGCAGCCTTTCAGTATCTGAAGGGGGCCTAAAAGGATGCTGGAGAGGGACTCTTCATTAGGGTCTGTAGTGATAGGATGAGGGGTAATGGGTTAAAACTTAAACAGGGGAAGTTTAGACTGGATATAAGGAGGAAGTTCTTCACTATAAGGGTGGTGAGGCACTGGAATGGGTTGCCCAGGGAAATTGTGAATGCTCCATCCCTAGCAGTGTTCAAGGCCAGGTTGGACAGAGCCTTGGATGGCATGGTTTAGTGGGAGGTATCCCTCCCCATGGCAGGGGGATTGGAACTAGATGACCTTAGGTCCTTTCCAACCCTAACTATTCTATGATTCTATAAACAAATGATATAAAACCAATTGCTTACCACCATCCAACTGATGCCTAGCCTGTCCATGAGCAAGAGCAACCCCTGCAAAACTTCCCCCTCCCTCAGTTGTACTGCTGAGCATGACACTACATGATATGGAATATCTCTCTGACCAGTTTGGGTCAGCTGTCCCAGCTGTGCTCCTTCTCAGCATCTTGTCTACCCCTAGCTTACTCAGCAATACGTGCTGTGGGGGGAGAGAATGAGAAATGGGGAAGCTCCATAAACACTGTTCAGCATTACATAAGACACCAGTGTGCTATCAGTTTTGGTCACAAATCCAAAACACTGCCTATATAGGGCAGTTAACCCATATAGGGCATATAAAGTTAACAACCCCAGGCAGCTTCAGTACAACCCCAGTTGCACAATTTATTTGCAGTGATGATTCCTGTATGCTCGAGATTGCCTCAGGAGATGTCAGTCCTGTTTGGAAACTTCCTGATCGCATAAGCAGCCTTTTTTTCCAAACAGATTTGCCTATCCCACATGCCGTTGGTCACTGTGCTTGTAGTAAGCATGGGTAAAGCCCTTCCCAAATCTTCACTCGCGAAGCCAAGCCGTCAATATAATTCAGACTAGCTTTAATTTACGTTAGGATCACCTATGCTTCAAAGGAACAGATTACAGAATGCTCCACACAAGGTTAGCTATTAATATGCATGAAAATACATTAAATATTAGCGTATAACCAAGGATCAATGACATTCAATAAAGCTACAATGATCAGAATGTAATTAAGGTCTCGAAGCAACCCTTCTCCCCTCAACAACAAGCATAATTTATAAGCCAGTGTCCATTAAAGCAGCTTTAGCAAGGGTAGTTAATACCTCACAGCTCTGCCATCTGTTTGGAATATTGGGCCTTAACTTCTGCTCACACACAACTTTCCTCATTTCTTCAACAGAAGGGTCTGAAGGAACAAGGTCATAATACGGCAACTGGTAATCTTCGTGGATTCCTGTAACAGGTTGCAAATGGCTTAATTTAGGTAACACTAAATTACATACTCTTCACATTTTACTGTGTTCCTTATCAGTACCCTATCATTTTCTTTTTTTGGTTTTCATTCTTAAAAAATGCATTACAATGACTAATATTAAAAAAAAAACCCAAACACCACCTTAACCATACCTTTGGTTATGTTCGTATTACCCTTGAGGAATTTTCAATTTTTAGATTTATATATTTGGAAAAGATGAAAGCTAGGCCAAATCTTTCACATGCTATACTAAAGGCATGCTTCTTGGAAGCGTATGATTTCTAATAGCGTGTTTTAATTTAAATACAGTATGGATGTAATGGTTTAAAACTTAAACAGGGGAAGTTTAGATTGGATATAAGGAAGAAATTCTTTCCTGTTAGGGTGCTGAGCCACTGGAATAGGTTGCTCAGGGAGGTTGTGAATGCTCCATCCCTGGCAGTGCTCAAGACCAGGCTGGATGAGGCCCTGGGTGACACGGTTTAGTGTGAGGTGTCCCTGCCCATGGCAGGGTGGTTGGAACTAGATGATCTTAAGGTCCTTTCCAACCCTAACTATTCTATGATTCTATATTTTTCTCAACAGGTATGGTTCATCAATTTAAAGAGGTTAAATAAACCAATCATCATCTAATGGATTAACAGTTAGAAAGTCTGAAAAACACTAGATATTATTACATTGTACCATTTTTTAGAACAGACTTTGCTCAAACTTATTCAGGTTCCGTAAGCTATAAATCCTTAGTATCTCCACTTTTGTAAAGACTGCTACGTACCACCAATTGAACATCGCCGAGCTATTTCCCAAAACACTAATCCCATGGCATAGATATCTGCTCTTTTGAATGACTCAAAATGTTTCATATTTATGGAATCATCTAGAACTTCTGGAGCCATGTACCTATTTACAATAATGAAACAAAACAAAACACCAAATAAACAAAAGAACATTTAATTTCATAAATACTTACTGTATAGAAAACTTCAATGCTATTGAGCTGCTCAAAACCAAATGTAAATATGAGGCAAAGGAAAATCTGCTTCATTAATCAAAGACCTCCAATGCAAGGAGGATAAGTAAACTGAGGGAACCAAGCAAAGCAATAGTGGAATAAGAGGAAACAATGACCAAGTAGAGCCATAAGCCTGACAAACATGGGATAACAGAGACAATAACAAAACCCCAAAGTCTCAGTTGCTAACTGATGTGCTATTAAAAAACTCCAGGCATAGCTTTTGGGAGGGCCAGCCTGCATGCTGTAACTGCTGATATGCAGGAAGCAAGAGGAACATGAGGACTGTCAATACTCGAGGGAGGCCTGTAGGACAATGCAATGCCTGCCAAGGAATGTTCAGGAGAAGGGTAACTGAGAGGAACAAAAGTGAGCAAAAGACAGTAGTTTATGCAAGAAGCCACTTGCATAAACACTTGCCAGTCACTATGCTTGTTTGACCAAGACCTCCAAAGGCTTGCTGCAGTGTATCTTCTTACTAAATCTTAACTATCTTTTTATGCAATCTCACTCTCAACCCCATGTGCACATGTGCTTTAAGGACTACATGACAGCAACTGGAGCCAGGCATGAAGGAGTTCAGGGGTAGCAACTGGAGTCAGACAAGGGATTAAGTTGCCACTGGGCCTGGTGTGCCAGCAACTGGAAGGGAACTGCAGTAAGTGTCCGAAGGCCTTAGAACTATGTATCTGGAGCTGCTGTGGGGGTACCAGCAACTGCAATCAGACAGTGCGTGAAGGTACCTCTGGAGCAAATGAGGGTCTCTGCTTCAGCCACTGAAGTAGGACGATGTGTCACAGGCTTCACAGTCACCAGCTTGAAGATAATGGCTACAAGGAAGAACTAAGATGCCAGAATCAGAGTAAGAGGCTCTCAACAGCAGCAACTGGAGTGGGAATAACAGGTCACAAGATCTATATGCCAGCTGCTGGGGTGTACTTCCCCCAAACCCGGCATGCATGGCAGGTGTGCATATGTGTAATTCACTAGGAACTTCAAGCTAGTCTAGCCAGCAAAGAGCTGACCCATGCAGGGATGGTATTCGACGGAATACCACACAAGTATACACTGGTATTAAAGGGAATCCATGCACACAGGTGTGCATACAGGTATATGTACCTGTTTGCTACTGTGCATTAACCCAGCCCAGCTGGTGAGTAGGAGACCTGCAGGGCACAGAAGAGGGCATTAGACAGACCAAAGGTTGCATTCACATGGGAGGAATTCATAAGCACACATGGGCTTGTCAGGCTACAGCAGAGAGTTTGCTTTTTAACTAATGAAGTTCAACCCTCATCAGCTGAAGGAAGAAGACTTGGCTGTTAACACTTATATTTTACGCAAGTTCTGACAGTGTTTTATGTGGGTGTTGAAGACACCACATGGTATATAGCAGTCTGTATAACCAGCCCTGTCAGTATTGTATGTGTCTGTATATGCGTAGCCCCACTACTGGTTGAAGCCCAAAAAAGAAAGCAGCAGCTATATCCATGGACCTGGAATGGACAGAGCCCAGCCCTTAGGACACACCAGGCTGGCAGAAGCCAGGCAGAAGGAAGCCCGAGCTCCTGGAATCTGCCAACATATAGCAGCCACTTATAACATCCCCTAACAAGACCACAGAGGGAACAGACATGAAGAGCTGATTAAAAAAGCAGCACTGATATGGATCCCTTGGGAACAAAGGCTCCCTGCCATTACAGTAACTGATTATTTCATTATAAAACAAAAAGATTACTTTTTTCAAATAGAATACTTTATGCAACATAAAAATCCGTGACAGACTTTCCTGGTTTCAGTATAGACTTTCAATTGAGAAAGAAAGACTGAAAACGGGTCATGGCATTGTTACCTTGTTTAGTGACTAAGCCCAATGTGGGAACATCAAGCAAGATGTCAGTGTGGTCTGCATTGTGAAAGTTAGCAGCATCCTCACTGGCTGCTGGAAGGAATGAATGGTATTTGCAGCAGTCAACATCCGCTGTAGTTCTGCTTTCTCAACCTGGTATAGCTCTGGCTACTAAATCCAATACACAATGTTTACCAGAGTTCAGTGTGTTTCTCCACATGCCTTATCAATCTCAAGCTGCCATATTAATGAAGCAGGGAAAAACATCACCAGGGCTTTGGAAAGCACAGATAACTGGTAAAAAAGCAACACACATAGATTACTGGAATGGAATATAATGTCAGGTGATAGCTCAACCTTGAATAGTCACAGAAGCCTATGCAGAGTTTCATTTTATCAATGTAATACCAGGATTTTTCCATAGGGATGTGAGGCAGAATACAAGACAGTATTTAAATTTCAGGACTATGAGACCTTCTAGAACACTCAGCAGTACTGTCTTATAGAAGTGACATACATTCAAGGAAGCACGGGCCATAAACAAAAGAGCAAAAATGTACCCAGTAGTTGTATTTGCTCTGGACTATCCAGAACTTCAACAACGGTTGCTGTCATGAGAGTTCTCCTAAGCACTGTACAGACACAGAAATTCCCCACAACTGATAAACACAGCAGAAGCAGAGGACAACTGTTTAAAGAGGAACATAAGGTTTACTTTGACAGTATTCATTGAATGGAAGCAGAATTCTAAGTTAAGTTTATATATGTCACAATCTTTAACATAAGCAAGACTCAAATTATTCTGGGCCACCTGTATCAAAAGCTTTTTAATCAAGAATGCAAGACTGTGATGAGTGTTTTAATGCTCTCCAAGGATTTTGCATTATTGGATAATCTTAATGCACTTGACAGTATAGTGATCAGCTTTGGGTTTAGAAGGAAGAGTATTTGAGCTGTCTTAAGATCACATGGGGATGTGAAGAGTAATAAAGGTGGAAAGCCACCATACCAAAACCCCCAAACATGCTGCAAGACTGTCAGCCAAAATCACTTAAACAAGCAGTAAAGGAGGTTGTATCAGTTTCTGCATATTGTCCTAAGGACAAAGGTTTTCACAGGAAATACTGAAAGAGGCTCCATGTGTCAATGGAGCTGAATTCATACCCTCAGAATAAAAAAATCCCCACCCTTTCCAAAAGTGACTTCGTCTGAATTTATTGGCAAATTGACCTCCTACCATGATCTTCCATCAATGCATTTAGACTGGCTTTGGTGTCCATAACACAGAATGGTAAATGACTGATCAAAAAGTCTGAGAGATTACTGCTGGAACAAGAGAGGCGAAAGGCAAGTAGGACATCTAGTGCAGTCAGCAGATTAGCCATTTCATGGCTATCAGACAAAAGAGAGAGAAACATGCATCTCCTTTACAGTTTATATATTAGAAATGCACTGCTTGTCAGAAACAGTATTTTGGGTTCTGGAGAGAATTACTCTACATAGACTATAGGTCTGCAATTCAATACCCTCCAAGACTGACAGCCAAAGTCTACAAAGGAGTTTAAAAATGTTGAGCATGGGTCACATTTGGCACTTTGGGTGCCTACTGACCTCCCTGCCTCTTTTAGTCCAAAAATTCTGTATTAGCTGCCTAACTTCTTGCACATATAGGGCTGGTGTCATCAAATAGGAAGCATACACAACAAGTTGAACATGACAACTCCATCTTCTGAACAAGCATAACTAGGATTCTGTTCATATTTGGTTTGGATAAACTACAGAAAAGCACCCATGTTAAAGTGGAATTTGAGCCTTAGGGAGTAAGAGAGGAATTCTATTTTCTTCTCAGTTTAAAGCTCATATTCTCTGCTTTATACTGCAGGCTGAGCTGTGAAAACACACAGTTCACACCCTCTGGGATAAAGCTAAGCCTCTGAACAGAAAAGAAATAAAGATTAATTCAGAAAGAAGGATCATCAGTCTGACTCAGCACCTACATCACACAAACAAGAATGAGTCTTGCTTGCTTTCTAGGCCATACATCCTTACAACAGACAATCATTAGAAAAATATAAACTTAGCCAAATCTCCCTGAACCTGCACACAGAGCATCCATGTGCAGAAAAGGTACCAGCAGCAGCAATCAATGGGAGTTAAGGTAAGATCTGAACTCTTTATGAAAAATTAGCTACAGGTACAGAATTACTTACCAAGAATGCACAAGAGGGAGGAAGAGGAGATCAAGACTTTTATCAGAATGAACAATTTTCAGAAAGGTAGAAAGGACTAATGTCTTCAAAATGGGAAATGAACTTCATCTTGCTGCTGCCCACCTCAGCAAGCAAGAGTTACTACAGCATTACCATTGCAAAGAAGCGTAAGGCAGCTGCATCTTCATTCAGATACAGATTTAATAGCGCCTACACAAGAAGAGAGCTTGTAAGTGGGATCTACAGACACAGATGAAAGGATGCTTCCTCCAAAGACTAAAGAAAGTAACAGATTTGCACGTTTGTTTTTTTTTTTTTGCATGTAGGTATAGTAAAAAATACCGTGACACGAAATGCACACTGCACACAGCTAAGTCTGCAATGACAAACCCCAAAGTAGTCTGCTGTTTTACTACCAATGATTCCTGGAGACTTTGAGAAGGAGTAACACCCAGTACTTTGTAACCCAGTAGCATTTCAAAAGTAAATCTCATCTGACCATTTGTGTGGTATTTCTAAAGTTGGCAAAGGACTAGTACAGAAGAGCTTTAGAATAAAATTATGTCAGCAATGTAATATTCAGTACAGTAAATTTTCAGTACATGTTCTAAAAACTTTTGTTCACTGGGCCTTAAAAAAGAAGTTTTTTTCTTCCAAAAAGACAGTGCTAAAGGTACATCCCAGTTCATCATTTATGCTCATCCCTCAAGCCCCCTTGCAGTATCACTAAAGAGATATATAACTGAAAACCTGCTAGGGCATATGCTGAAGTTAATCACATACAGCCCTGAACCACTTGGGCTTCCACACATTTCTCAGTGATAGGCATACAAACTTTAGTTTGGCATAGTACTGGACCTATAGGCATCAAAAGGACAAAATGTTGTCTGTATCACATAACTCTCTTGCTATGGTTCACTGTTACTGCTGTTATCTCTGTATGCTGTATAGCTTCACAGACTGCTAAAGAAAATTAATCTTCTCTGCAGAACATCTTCCAATTACTATTCTCTGAAGGTTCAGCAATGCTGAATTACAGCCAATAACAAACTGCACTAGTGTCGATGGAGTCAAACACTCTGAGTTCTTCTGAGGACAAAAAAAACAGATCTGTATTTCTGAATTCAGAAATACACTTAGGAAAGGGAGTATACTGACTCATGTACTGATAGTTCTATTTATGCATTAGGTAACAAAGATGAATGCTGTTTTACATTCTCATATCGCTCTCAAAAATATGATCCTATGATAGCCCGTATCCAAGACTGTACTTTGTATGATCTACCACATAGGCTTCACACTGAAAAAAAATCCAGCTTTTAACTTCCACTGTCAATATCCTGTTTTACACTCCAGATTGAGCTGCAATCATTTCCGTGCAACACAAGGCACAAAGAATAAAGATATAGCAGTGAAATTTCAAGACTGTCACTCATGAAGTCTCCCAAGTGTTTTAGGATATACTTGCACCCTACAATATTTTGCAAGTTTTCTGTATTTTACACATACTAGTAGAAGATGCCAAGATTCAATATGCTTTTTAAGCACCTACTGTCTAACTAAAAACCAGCTGGCAAGGAAGTGCCTAGGAACTCTACCTGCCATTGTTTACATTTCCCTGCTGCTTGTGTTTGTACACATGTAAATCTGCTATACCGGGCAAGAAAATCCAAAGCATTTTACTGTAAATATCACCTGACACATCACATTAATGATTTTACCTTTTTGTTCCCACTCTGTGGTTTGGGGCAATATCAATTGTATCTGTAGCTGAATCGTGCCTAACTGCCAATCCTAGGTCTGCAATGCAGCATGTTCCATTCTTTTTTACCAATATATTTTTTGATTTCAAATCTCTATGAGCAATCGCTGGTTTGCCTGTAAGGAAACAAAACAAAAACCAAAACAGAAATAACACATCTGTAAAAAATGTAATTGCTACTGTTCTAAAATGGGTGCAGATTTTGTTTTATGTTACAGAATTCCTTCCAGTTCTGCTACTTCATGTACATTAAGGTAACTCCTGAAACCACTCACTGTGGACTGGCTGGCTATCCAGAATTACCTTAAATGCCTGCCATATTACATCACTTTACTGCTCCTTTTCCTCTTCCTGCAAGTACTTACTGTGTACCCATACTAGCCACAAAAAAGTTTCTCATGTCTTTGGAAACAGACACATAGTTCTGTCTCAAATCAAAGAAGATTCTAAAGGCACCATTACTTACTGCCTTTTAGTAGGCGTTTTGTAGGAAGGACTGTCACATCATAAAACCTGGATACACCACAGAAAGATAAAAAAAATCCGAATTAAGAAGTTCTATTAGTTCAGATATTATGACAGGCTCCAAACAGACGTTTTTCAATTCCCTCAGCTCCACAAGGGATTAACCTGAGTATCTGCATTGAGTTTAGCTGCCTTATCATCACATAAGTAGCTGTGTGCAAAGCAACTACAGGTTGAATGTTCTAATTAAAGAAAATAATTATAGTAGAAAGAGCATGTATAATTTCTCAAAAAATCCAATACTATGCACATGACAGGCTGAACAGTTGTAAGATTACCTTGTGTGCCAACAATTTCCATGTGAAGATGAGCAAGACCACTAGCAGTGGACAAAGCTAATTTTATCATTCCTTCCACTGTTACTGTATACCTGTTCAGGTAATCAAAGAGTGATCCATGCTCATGATAGTCAGACACCAACCACAGCTGAGTCCATGTACCATTGTCTGCAAAACAACACTGGCATGAATACCACACATACACACACAAAACGACAAGCAAACTATATACGCCACTTTAATACAATGCTTATGAAATACAAATTACGATTTGCAAGTAACTTCAGCCAATTAGACTCTAAAATCTTTACTTCTATCCCTCTAAGATTTAAATGCCTATATAAAGGCTGGGACTACCATGCAAGATTTTCCAAGTAGCTTAGTGAGTATTATTTTATTTAAGCTAAAACACAAATCATAGAAATCTGATGTCACTATGATTCTGAAGAGAACTATTTTGTAGTATTAGCCAGGCCCTGCCCACCCTTATCTTTTCTGCTTGGGGGGAACAGTGCTGAATGCATGATGCGAAACTAGCCCTGTCACTGTTGGTCTAGTACAATATTGTCCAGACTACACATAACTATGAGGAACAAGACAGGTCATAATACATATGCAGATATCCCAAGAAACGCAAATGACAGGTAAGAACTACATTGTTCATTATTAAACTAGTGGATGCAAAATAACTTGAAGTTCAAGCCACAGACTTTCCTAACTATTAAAGGAATAATCAATCAGGATGGGGTAAAAGCTTGGTGGTTTGGTTTTTTTTTTGTTTTGTTACCCAAGATGTAGAAATATACCCAGAAAAAAAACAATCCTGCCACAGCTCTTTCCTACTGTGTCTTGTGGCCCTTCAACCAGATTTTAAGAGGGACAACGTTACATCCAAGCTTACATGAATAGTATTAATTACAGACAAGATGAAATGAAGTACAGTGTCCAGCTATTAGGTGAGACACACAACATTTTCTTTACCTTGCTATATTTGAAAAGCTACATATTTGTTCAGCTATCTAAGAAGAACACATTCTGATGAACTTAAGTCTTCTTATACTGTTGACAGCAGTTAATTATTACCAAGTAATAACCTGACCCTGAGTATTTTTGGCTGCACAGTAAACAGCATCTGCCATGAAGCTTTCAGTTACAGGATATGCATTATCAAGTAATAAAAAGTAATTACATTAAGTAGTAATTACATATAGTAGCACAGCCTTCCATAATAAGATAACCTAATTTAGTTCATATACACACCATGATCAAGATTCTTAAGCAATTTCATAACATTCAAGAACATTACATATGTTCTTGGAAACCTATCTAATTTCTGTAATGAGATTAATTAAGGTTATTTCATTTATTTGCATGAAACATGAAAGCATTTTAGATTATCAAAATCACTCAGAAGTAACAGGTTTTTCTTTTGCAGTTCTAACAAAATTTGAAATTATGAGTAAAGAAGCTTTCAGATTTGTTAGAAGACTGGTTAGTTTCAGAGAAACATTAGTGCACTTGAAGCAACATTCATCTTAAACAAGCTGCCTCTTGAAGAAAGGGATTTATAACAAATGCTCTATAAAATATAAAATCACGTTTGAATTAAAATTGAATAGACTGAATTTACTTAAGTGAAGACACTTTTTTCACATTGGTATTAGCAAAACAGAACTGAGGACTTGGCATATCATATGCTTGTTTTCAAACCAAATACTAGGTTTTAAGATTTAATAGTATTGGTTGGTACAAGAGTTGTGAACCACAGACTTATGCTCCAACTTGAATGTTCGAAAGAAGTTACGAAAACTGCCTAATTGTACATGTTCTCCAGTGTCATATAGTAAAAAGTGTTTCAAAGCAAACAGTGAGATGCCTTTTTTAGCATGCAGATAAAGTAAAAGAAAAAATACCAACCAAAAACCGAAGCAAAAAAGTATTGAAAAGATCAGACAGACATAGGAACTAGAACACTCTTAGAAATGAGGTACTCGAGATGTCAGGGAAAACACTTTTGTCTGTGGCTGAAAGAGGGCTGATATTTTGTTAGTGAACAGTTTGACTATCTCAATGTGATAGTCATATGATTAAATTAATGAAAAGTGCTTGAGCTGTGTAGATTAGCAAGATCTTCCAGGCAAACTGCTAAGGCTAAACCAGAAAGAGTAAATAGCTCCAATATTACTTTTCTCAAGATAAAGGAATTTCACTCATTTCTCCAAAGCATACTGCTGAATATTATTCTTGGGGATCTACTTATCACATAAGGTAGTCTGAACAAAACTTCCAGCTAGTCAAGTGCAGCTTTCAATTAAGGGGAAGGCATGGAGAGGCTTAAGTATTTTAGTGCATAAAATTAATCTGAAAGTGTGCAGTACAAGACTTCACCTTACTTGTAACATGACTACAGACAGGTATGATTACAGAAAACTAATCCAGGGAAGCCTTTAGTACTGTAAACAGAGGTTGCTGCCTGCTGCCACTGCTTTTCTGCTAGTAGAATACTGCAGATAAGTAGACCCCAATACACTTTACAATTAAGTATCTAGGCTAAAAAGAACAAAACAAAAACCCCACCCAAAACCCAGACTATCTTTTTAGATGTTTCAAACCAAGGCAACACATGGCCCAGAAAGTAATTTCCATGACCCAGCAGTATTTGAAAGTTAGTATACACTCTTGGCTAAGTAAAGAGCTAACCAGACCGCAAACATGCTAGTCAGACAGAACACAACTGCAGTTAAAATAATTTACCGATTTCCAGCAGCACCTACCCCAGTGAATTTTGGGATGGGAAAGCAGACAGACAGGACTAGCTCCTGTAGCCTTCTGAATACCATATAATCTTGGGGAAGTAGAGAATGAGATGGGAGAATGTGCCATTAAGGCATATGGGGAAGACTAAACAGTGTAGCAACAAGGAGTCAAGACAGCAGTTCAGTCACAAGCTTTGACTCCACCATCTGAGCTGAACACCACCGATTTAGCTAATCTACCTGCACTTGTAAACACTTCCTAATCTCATACATGCACCTTTCTACTTGAAGGCACCCCCACAATTTTACAACTACAATGGAGAGCCAGATGTACCCCAGCAGTTGTGAAAAATATGCAGTTGCGTGAAGAGGAGAGACCTAATTAATGCCTTTGCTGGTAGAAAGATTTGCAGCATTAACACTGGCCCACACTTACAGCACAAGCTACATGCCAGGAGGCAAGAGTCCTAAGCATTCATGATGGATACATGAGGATCTGCCCGAGAATTCTACATGTATCATTGAAGCCTTCAGCAAGCACCGAGTTGGGATTGCGCAAGTAACCATTTCACTGCTCCATCTCCGTAGTTAACCTTGCAAGGTTTCAGACACACAGTTTGATTCTTAGTCTCATGACTTTGTGCATTCCAGCTAGGCTGTAGTAACTCCTGAATGCATTCAACAGTACACCTTATGGAGAAATCAGAAGGAGCATCAAAAGAAGAGTGACCAGCAGGTTGAAGGAGGTGATCCTGCCCCTCTACTCCACTCTCGTGAGACCCCACTTCGAGTACTGTGTACAGTTCTGGTGTCCTCAACAGAAAAAGGACATGAAACTGTTTGAACAAGCCCAGAAGAGGACCACGAGGATGATCGGGGGCTGGAACACTTCCGATATGAAGACAGGCTGAGAAAGTTGGAGCTGCTCAGCCTAGGGAAGAGAAGGCTGCGCAGAGACCTCATAGCAGCCTTCCAGTATCTGAAAGGGGTCTGTAAGGATGCTGAGGAGGGACTCTTCATTAGGGACTGTAATGATAGGACAAGAGGTAACAGGTTAAAACTTAAACAGGGGAAGTTTATATTGAATATAAGGAAGAAGTTCTTTACTGTAAAGGTGGTGAGGCAGTGGAATGGGTTGCCCAAGGAAGTTGTGAATGCTCCATCCCTGGCAGTGTTCAAGGCAGGGTTGGACAGAGTCTTAGGTGACACAGTTTAGTGTGAGATGTCCCTGCCCATGGCAGGGAGGTTGGAACTTTATGATCTTAAGGTCCTTTCCAACCCTAACTATTCTTTGATTCTATGAAATGGATGCAAATCCATCAAAGCTATTACTGCTGTGAAATAATACTTCATCTTGCCCCTGGCACCTAATAAGCATTTAGCAGTTAGAAGCAGCATCTACAGTGGAAGAAAAATAGGTGATAGGTGAGTTTTAAGCCACTGGTCTCTAAAGACATATTGTGATACACTTGCTCCTTTCAGAGTACCATGACAGTGCACACCTGATAAACTAGAAGAACTACTTCCATAATGGTCCCTTTCCGTTATGTTCTCAAATTTAATGGGATGTAGGTGGCCTAAAGTATTCTAACAAGAGCTGAAGTATTAACTTCAATATTCAAGACTTCCAAATGCATAACCTAGAGAGAGAATGGTGTGTACATCTTTCCTCACTGAGAGAATGCAGGTGGTTATACTCAGAATTCTGCATTAGTGGGTTAAAAATAATAATCCAGCTTTCCACATCTGTTCAGAGAGCAATGCTGTTAGAAAAAACAGCCTAGAATAGCAGCATTTTTAAAACATGTCTTTACTCATTTCTCAATTACCAATTAATTCTCAAGAAAACAGGAGTCATGCCATAACCCCTAAAGCCTCAAATAATGGCATGACCTATCAACTAAGGATTTTTTCTTTGTGTGTACAGCATACCAACAACAGAATCAAGGAATAATGTTATATCAGATTATATCACAAGGAACCTAAAGATGACTAAGTCAAATGGAATTTCTTCCTATTGCATCTGAAACCTGCACCAGCACTCAAATTATTTTAGGAACCTACTTATTCTGGAAATCTTCTTCATAACTTTTTCGCACAGTAGTTGTGTATTTTTTAGACAAACTATCTACGGGTTTGGAGCAAAATGGGAGCCTGGTAAGCCTAACCACAGAAAGATTTTGTTAAAAGTCATAGCTAAGCTAATTGCAATATATCCTTTAAGCTTTTCAGTGAGACATAGTACCTAAGGCTTCTGCAGAGGTGGATTTCCATTTATGTCTTTAATGCAACTGATCTATTAATTTTAAACCCAGGCAGAAGATACTCCATTAGGTCCATCAGAACAAATTCAAGCCCTCACAGGTGCTAGTAATATCCAATCCAACCTTAGGCATGAAAGTAAGATAGTTACTAATGGTAAGCATAATAAACTGCAGGAAAACATTGCCTGGTATGCTACAGATCTGCAAGCTCTTGTAGCCCTTTCCTGGAGAAGGGAAGTGTTACACACAACCTCTATGGTTCTGTTCCAATTCTAGAGATCTGTAGAGATGTAGAAACTCGAAATTAATCTACTGATAATTAGAAAGAACTCTATTTAATGTGCGTATTTCAACTACGCTAAACTATTTAGGAATTTCCCACAAAACTGAGAGCCCTTTTAGAAGCCAAGGATGTCTGTGGATTCTTGACTTCCCCCTAGCACGACAGAATTTTCTGTCAGTGCTTTCTCTGCAAAAAAAAGTCAAAAGCCGTTTATGGTGAAACATGTAATTTCAGATTAAAATAACTGAATGAAACAGTATGACATTTTAGCTCCTCTTAATGTAAGAAAGTCAAAACTTCTGTTGGTTTTGACAAATTCTTGTGTCTAAAACTGGATGGCAGGAAAATCCAGGGAACTCATCTGACTGGAACTTCAACAAACCAAGTTAAAAAAAAAAGAAGTTTAAACTGTTCCTCTTAGTGGATGCTTAAAAGCTTATAAGGAAAGCTTCAGGAAACAGGTATAATTTTTCATACTAGGAACAAACCAATAATTACCCTTTTCCGAATTCTTTTCTAGCTGGAGTTCTTAATTAATAACTTCTCACATCTTAGCCTTAAAACAAATTCTCTAACTCCTGTTTTCTATTAGGACAACAGGATTAGATATCACCTCTTTCAGTGCCATAAATCTATCTTATTAGGCTATAAGGGAAGTACAGGTACATGTATTCAGCAGATGTGTGTGCTGACAGGACAAGGCATTTCCTTTCTGGTACCAAACTTAGCCAGTAATTTAACTTGCTTGCAGAAATCACAGCTTATTAAATATGCAATAAAAATTAAAAATTAAACAAAGCATGTTTTCCAGAAAAAGGAAAACATATTTTTTTCCTTCATAAAGGCTATGAAAAGCCTGTCAAAACCTGAAATGCTCTAGTAACAAGATTTTTTTTTTCTGCTCTTAACTGGATCCTCACAACTTCATTTTCCACCCCATTTACCATCCATTCTGAATACACAATCAGCAAAAGGAATTCATAGTATCACTAACCTTTGTTGTCTGCAGCTATAAATCCAAGAATGTTTTCATGCCTTAGCATAACTGTTTGATAAATTTCTGCTTCGCGAAACCATGAGCGTTCCTCTCTTGAAGAGAAGATCTTCACAGCAACTTCTTCTCCTCTCCACTTCCCTCGCCAGACTTCTCCAAAACGACCCTTACCAATGCTTTCTTGAAGTACTATAGTTCTTGCAATTGTTCTTTGCACAAGTAGAGGTAAACCTAAAAAGAAGATTTAACATTAAACAGCATTCTAGCAAAATAAACACGGTAAGTATTAAATGTAAGATCCATATGCCATAAGATACTTCTCTTAGAAGGCACATAAACTCTCTTAAGATTTTAAGAGCTTCTTGTGAACTGCTAACTAGTATGATGCTGCCTTCACCCTTAAAGGCCAGCAAAACAAGATGTTATACTACAAACTGCCTCTACAGAAGAAGACACAAACTTTCTTTCAGTTCAGAATTTTGATGGTTTAATTCAAACCATGAAGCAATTGGGATCAGGATTGAGGTTTAGTGGTTTGTTTTTTTTAACTTGGGGGGGGGGGGGGGTGGGCAGGAGGGTGATTGGATCTGCCCATAGCTCGCAGTTCAAGAGCACTTCTAAGTTAAAATTAAACCATGCTTATCAGCAATACTGTCAAAAGTTTACACTCATGCCCAAGTACACCAGCAGCCTGTCAGCACTCTCAAAAGCCAGCGTAAAATAGGGAAACATTCTTGTAACACAGGCTTCCCATTTCACAGGCCATTCTTGTACACCTCACTGTAATTATACTTGAGAAAAATACTTACATTCATGAAGGTTTTATAGCTTTGGAATATCTACATGCTTGCAACTCACAGCACCTCATACCATGCTTCAGTTAAGTTTATACTTAAGAAACAAGAAGCACTGGCATCCCCCAACCATGGTTGGTTTATTTTAAACCTTTGCTGTTGTAACTGCAAGGCTTATCACAGGAATCTGTGGTGATACTAAGCTGCAGGATGAATGCAGCCAGGTTATCTGCTCACAATAAGCTCTTTAGGTATGGGATTATTTCACTTAAACACTTTACAAAGTAATCTATTACTCCATAATCACTGTTACAATAGCTGATAGAAGAACATCTGCATATGCTATAGAAGATAAATAACAACTAATAGCTCAAATAACTACTTTGAGTCCATCTCTGGTCATTTTTTGCTAATAACAGCACTGAAAGGACATCTGATCTGGCAAGCAGCATTGCCATGCTTGTATCTCAGTCTGAGTGCAAACTAAAACAGTGTACAGAGCAGTTCTTCAAGACTTACAGACCTACAGGAATTTTCTGTATGATCTGTGCTGACAACGTAACTATGTGAAAAAAGGGGAAAACATGAACACCATCCCAGTGATTAATTTGTCAGGTGCTGTGATAATTCCTACTGAGAAAGTTAAAATTTTTGCTGTAATAGCTGGCCTCTGGTTCACTGTGCTGCGTGCCCAAACTGTCAAGGCTCATCTGTGAAGCCTAACTTGCATTCCTTATGGACAGACTCTTGAAATGTAGAAAAAGCCAGACTAGAAAAACCACGGGACCAAACCAAACACTAAAAATGTATAATTTGACTCTGTTGGCCAGAGAAAGCTTTCTGGTTAGTACTTACATGCTATAGCAAATTCCACTGGTAAATGGTAAACACAAGCCAATCTCCTACATGTGAAATGGGCAAGATGCCTAATATTTCTTCCTACATCTGTTTCAGTAAACTGTACATTTTGTGTTTCAAATATATTTCTTTCAAGTTGCTGTGCCATTTACAGACACCCCTTCTTGCTTAAAAAAGATGTTGAAGGGTATGAGTGAACCTCTACACAGATAGCTACTAAGCTCTAAACCTTCCAGACATGAAGCACTTCAAATTCACAAGTGCCCAAACATCACATTAACATGTCACAGTACAATAAACTCCCTGCTAACTGATCTACCTACTGTGCTCCTATAATTTTTGTATTTACAAGATTCAACTCACCTCTCTTTTTTTGCAACTGTGCTTTCTCCTACTACTGCTGCTGAAAAAAAATGTAAGATTGCAATCCATATTTATCTTACATCCATAAAAATTCCGTACAGACTTTGTTGCAAACTGAGCAGTCTCTTTATTTTGCTATAGAGGAAACACAGCCCTGTATCACCAAGAACTTGAGCAACTGCTTTACTGTAAACCAGACTGCCTGAAAAGCAGCTAACTGGCAATAGATACAACACCAGCCTTCGACATACACATTGGGCACAACTGTACTGCAAGCTCTTGAAGTACAGCTTCTTTTAACTGTGCATGAAGATGATGGTCAGTTTGCTAGTCAAGATCCTGTTAAATTCAACAGCAGCTCAGAACATTTAGCACCTTTTCTTCAGCCATAGTCACTCAATTTATCCCTGAAGCCTTCATCATCATCTTCATACAGCATAACAAAGTACCCTCAATCAAGCCTTCTGACAGTTTAACAGAGTTGTCATTTGTAAGTTGCAAAGTTAACAGCTGACCATCCCAATCTATTTATATAGTATGTAGCTGATAAAGAGATTTCCACCATGATCTGAAAATTGTTCTCAGCTCCAAAAGACTTTGAAATCCGTCTCTTAAAAGCTGCAGGTTCAGCAGAAGAATGCATTTCTGCTGTTTCATCAATTCCTTTCACCAAGCCTCTCGCTCTTTCAGGTCTTGATTGTCATGAAACAAGGCAATACTAACATCAGACTGAATAACAACAGCTTACTATTCATCATTGCAGAAAATGAATCCTACTTCCCTTTTGAGTAGGAACCTCATTTTTAGAGTTTTGTTCAGTTCTATTTTATATGCTTCTCTGCGACAATACCATAAAACAAAACTGGTAGAATCCTTTTTATTTTACTTCAATCTCTTCTGGTCCCTCAGCATGAATTTTAAAGTAGAACATCTACTTTAGGTCACTAGACTAAACACTTCCTTAGCTGTGCCTCTTAGGTCTGGATTATTTTGTCTGTTCTGTACATTTCCATTGTTTCTTGCAACCTCTAGCCTAGCAGCACCCCTTTCACACAGTTAAGTTTGACAGGGTTAAGCCTTATGATAACTAGCAGCTCTGAATTTTCTCCCTTCAGTGACCATGCCCCCCACCCCAGTTTATTCCATAAACGTACAGTCTTCTCAATGAGATTCAACAGCTGCAGACATATTTCAGAACACAAGAAAATTAACAGTGCAAGTGCTAGGGCACTGTGAATTTAGATAGTCACTGATTGACTAATTTTGAAATAAGGTGATGCAAGTCATCGCAAATACATACGCTGCCAACAGTACAGAAGATAAGTACTTGAAGCACCTCCTACCCCACAGCCATAATTCCACGGCACCCAACATGAGAAGGACACAGACCTGTTCAAGAGAGTCCAGAGAAAGCCAAAAAGATGCTCCAAGGGCTAGAGCACCTCTCCTAGAGAGAGGCTGAGAGAGCTGGGCTTGTTCAGCTTGAAGAAGGCTGCATGGGGACCTCATAGCAGCCTTCCAATATCTGAAGGGAGCCTACAAGGATGCCAGAGAGGGACTCCTTATCAGAGGCTGCAGTGATAGGACAAGGGGTAATGGATTCAAGCTGAAAGAGGGTAGACAGAAATTAGATATAAGCAAGGAATTCTTTACTGTGAGGGTGGTGAGGCCCCGGCACAGGTTGCCCAGAGAAGCTGTGGCTTCCCCACCCCTGGCAGTGTTGAAGGCCAAGCTGAATGGGGCTTTGAGCAATCTCGTCTAGTGGAAGGTGTCCCTGCCTCTGGCAGGGGTTTGAAACTAGATCATCTTTAAGGTCCCTTCCAACCCAAACCATTCTAGGATAATAAAAGGGCAGTACTGCTAAATAAAGCTAATACTTCTCTTACAAACAGATGAACAACATGGAACTCATTGTAGCTTAATTTAAGAGATCACTTCTAAGAAAACATCCAGTCTTGTTTTACAGGGAACACAACTTTCTCTTTCAAGCATACAAATTCGTGAAGAGCTTTCCTTAGGGGTAAGTAAAATTCAACCATACTTGGCAGTTTTCTTCCTCTGATGCAGCCATCATTAGCCAGTGCTCAAATACTGCAGCAGGTAAGGTGCTCTGGGAGTCTAGACCAGCTTGAGTGTCTTGAAGCTCTGAAAACAAAGTAATTCCCCAGCATGCTGCTTTTACTTAAAATGTAATTCACAAATAGGCAAGGGAAGAGTCAGTAGTTTCTAACCATTTGCTCTGGAGGAAGAATCCTAAGTTTCTTCTAACTGGGATTCCTCACTTTTCAAGAGCGTAATTTGAAGGAGTACTTCCAGAGTCTTCAAACACGAAGAGAGGCTCAGAAACACCACAGGGAGGAAGGCCAGAGGAAAAGGAAGGAATATTCCTGATAACAAGCAGAAAGACCAATTGACAACTAAGTCTGAATTAATATTATCATAGGCCTGATTTCTGATATAAAGAAGTGTGGGAAAGCAGCGATGTAGAAAGTGGCAGAAGTGCTGTGATTATCTGAGAAGTTAAAAGGGAACTATCAACCAGACAGTACTTTAAAACAACATACACCTGCTCTTTTAAGTTGTTTGTTTGGGTTTCCCTCTCTCCATTAAATTTCTTTTCAGCTTTCTTTAAGAAAAGTCTTTACCTGCAGATATTAAGTAAAGAGTTTTATGCTCCTAATAATGTAACAACTATATATCATAGGTTCTTGCATGCCAAGAAATGTAAACCTCCAACTCCTTCATATTCTCCAAGTCTCTTAATTCTGTATACCCCTCCTAGAAAGGACATAACTGGAGGAGTACGTCCATCATTTGCATTTATCAAGTTCTAGCCCAATATATTGGAACATCTATTTCATTTAATCTATCATCACTTTCATTATTTCAGTAGTTATCACTATTAGTAAATGAGAAATTTAAGATTAACACAAACTACTAACGCTCTAGTTCTAACCAGAGAGCAGCTTACCCCATCAAATCTTATTTGGACACTTTCTCAACTGAAACAACTCCCTACACGCTCAGTGCAACCTAACCTTCTTTAGTGAAGATATGACTGAAGATTACTCTTTCTTTAAACTATATTCTAAATATGCCCAGCAAGTTACATTGATTTTACTTGATAGAGCAATGGACTCTGAACAGTTTTACCAGTTACTACTGCCTTTGAGAAAGAAACACAAGCTAGATGCTTAGGTTTTGTTGATATAAATCTTTCAGTTCTGGAAAATTAAAAAATTCATCAATTGAGAATCAAACACCAATATTTCTTTGCAGAAAGTACACTAAAAGGGCATGTATAATTCAGCACATACATTTGCAAGTAGTTGGAATAATTTCCAGTATTATTTAATCTTTCTATATAAAGTTGATAAGAGGTTGCAGTACACAATCTGATGTCTCTCTCCTAAACATGGACCAGAAATCATATAATTTATAAAATTATTTATCTGACACATCATCCCCTATCAACACCTATTAAGCTATATTTCTGTGACACAGACCACCACAATCCTATAAGCAACAATGTCAAGATTATGACAGCAAAGACTGTATGCAGTGAACAGATTATTACATCATCATCCAGAGCAACACATGTTAAAGTCAGTATTAGAACAAAAATTCATGAAATCAAGGAACAGAAATTGTTCAGACATGGTCTGCACACTCCATCCATTCTATACACATAGCTACTGCTACTCGCAACTCAAAAAATATCTTCAGTAAGGAGAGAACTGGCTAAAATATTAACTCATACTTAGAATTCAGAATATTATTCATATACCAATAGCTACAGATATAAATGAATTTTCAGGCTAAAGATAAAAACTTCACAAATTATCTCAAAACCACAGAAGACAGTAATATATATATGCTGTGCAGAACAAGAAGGTAAATGAATGATCTTACTAATAGAGAAAACAAAATATTTACAATAGCTTGACCGTCCCTGCATATCTGACTGCAATCTCAGACTGAGAAACACTAGCAGCAACTCAGTATCTTTTATTTCACTTATTTCCATACTTTGAATCTTCACTGATATTGGATGAATCTGCATGGAAGTAGCTTTTCTAGTAATTTCTCCAGTTAATTTCAAGTTTAAGTAGATTTTGACAATATAAAAAAATTGATGCCTTATAAGGTTCTTAAAACCAGAACAATTACTACTAGAAGTGTGACATTACCTGACCCAGAGCCTGAAGTTGTCATATCATAAATCAAATCCTTTAAAGTAGTTCCTTCCGATATAAAGGGACGATCCAATGAGGGATCTTCTTCACTTGGCACACGATGATGAATTACAGTACGATTATGACAAAGATACAGAATCAACATTAGTGAAATGCAGACAAAGCACACAGGTCCAGCAATGACAGCAGCCAGTTCCACGGGTCCTAGATTAGAAGCTGGTTTTCCTGGAGTAGGGCCTGACAGTAAAAACAAAAGAAAATAGTAAAACTACTTCTTTCTTTTTATGATACTGAATCGATTGTATTTTGCAGTAATCTCCAAATTACTTCAATGTATTGTTTATAAATTTGCACAGTAACTTTTTCAAGAATAAAAATAAATATTACAAAGGCACAAAAGCAACTATGTGCTTACTCACAGTTTCCGTTTATTTTGCATATAGGTCTTCAACACTGTCCCTAACATCCCTATCCAGAAGATTAAATTTCTTGTTCCAAATATCTTTAAATTTTATTTGCAGAATCTAAAGTGTATTTTAGGCCTTCAAATTCACCTCCAACTTCAAAACTGAAGCTTCTACTCTTACAGAATTTTCTATTAAAAAAAATAACCCCCCAAATATGTTAAAACCCCTTACCTGGTGTCGGAATTGGAAGTTCTATTTTATTGCAGTAGTCTCTGTCACAGCAATGAGGGAAAGTAAAGACTCCATCTCTGGAGGAGTGGGCACAAACAAATGGTCTGTCTCGGGGAATCAGATCAATCTCTGCTATACACATACTATTGTGTATTACTTTGTCTGCAGTTCGTGTTACTGAGGTAAAACACAGCCCATCTGTCACACATGTAAAGTTGTCTTTTGTGCATAGATGGCAGTAACACCGTAATGCTGTGTTGAGAAAAAACATGAATGTTAGTATTGGTACATGTTCTGAGCCAAGAAACAACTTGAAGGACTAAAGAAATAAAGAGTTCAAACCACTGAGGCCTATGATCTTTTTGGTTGTGTAAACACAGAACTGCAACACTGAAGAACAACACAAGGCTTTTTAGCAGGACAAAAAACTAATAAAATTAGGAGATGATCAGACGAAAGTAAAATTTATAGTGGACACAATCTCTCCTTATACAATTATGTATTAACAGAGAAAGGCTGAAATCCCAGATGTTCCCCCAGGTAAAGGAGTTTCATTACAGATCCTCATAGTAAAGTTCTGGACTTCTTAACCCCACCACATCCCCTACACCATGCCAGTTTGCTGTTTGCATACTGAATACAAATAATGCCTTTTTTTCTTCTTCCACAACAACGAGGTGAATAGCCTCGGTAAGTGACAAGTAAGAATGCTGCTGGCTACCTAAGATTAATACTTTATACATGCCTTGATGGCTTCAACTTTGCACCAAGGAAAGCTCATATAAAGGCTTAATCCTCATTATAAATACAAACCCTAAATGATCAAAGAACACATGCTTTCATGTAAGCAGAAAATGGTTTAGACTTGTTATTTATGAAGCCACAGGAAAACACTGCTTTGCATTACTGAAGTTGCTGGTTTACTAAAGCTATCAATTGCACTAGGAAAGGAGGAGGCATGGGTAGGGAAGCAGGAATGACAGACTAATCACATCTAAGATGATCAGGTTACATTCTTTACATTGCAGAAGTTGTTGGAGATGGAAGATTACTATTTCAGCTTGCTTTCTCCATATTTCTTTCTGCATTTACAGGACCAAAGCCAGACGGGGAATGGTGCAGTAACAACAATAAAAATATCAATACACTGACTTGTTCATCTGTGGAGACCAAAGGTTTGCATAGAGCTTGTGTACATGCATGCAGAAAGATTAAAATACAGAAATTTAGACAAAATTACAATCTTAAACACCCGTGCCCAAAACACAAAAATGAGCTGAGCCACAAACAAGCCTCTCTCGAGGGTGTGAGGATTAATTGGTGGTAAAGCAAAAGATGCCCCAAAATCTGAAATTTGTGTGCTTTACTTAAATTCACGAGTTTAAGGTAACCACCTGAACAGTCCCTGATTTTACACTCTTCTCGGTCACTGGATACCACAGATTTAAATAAAAGGCAATCTGATCTCAAATACACATTCCATCTCAAAGTTTTAATTCCATTTTTCTGAAAATACCTCCTTCCCCTCAGATCTTGAGTCAAAACGTATTACTGACAATCACCCTCTACTGTTAGAGTAAGAACATGGTAAAGTATCTGCTTTATGCTGTAGCATAAAGTATATGCTACAGAATGAAAACCCATGTTTCTGAGAGATTCATCAGCCCACAAACCAGTCAGAAAAAAAGGGGGGGGGGGGGGGGGAAAGGGGGCAGAAATGGAATTGCAAAATTATTTAGTATTAAGATTACTGAAAAAATACTTAAAATATATATAAAATGAGAACTGGCACATAGGAAGGTAAAGCTTCTTTAGATTACCACTTCTTGAAGATATAATTTCCCACACCCCCATTCACAGTAGTAAGGCAAGTCTTATTCAGAGTTTAACTATGAGGACATTTAACAGTTATTTTCCTGTCAGTGTCCCTTTGGTAATTTACACTTTATTTTTAAACCTGTTAAAGCATTAAAGTTTCCTAAAATATTCACACGTTGATATTTCTTTCAACTTTCTTAACAAGCAGGATTTTTATCTCACTGCGTCATCCATGACTTTTTTTCCTATTTAAATAACATTCTTGGCTCATCATAACAGCACATGCATCTGAATGCCTACAGTAAGGGACATTATTCAGTAAGATATATTTACATTGGGTCACTGTACAGAAACCAAGTTACTTGAAGTGAAAAATGAGGTTTGGGTTGACCCTGTTGCACTTACTCATCTTCCTGATCTGGTGAAGTCGTAGGGACACCCTGATACCACTATGACTAAATAAGCAACTGGCATCTTATCTTCCTCATTCATTTTGTTCCCACCTCTCTTTTGCTACAGAATTCCCAATGAATGTAATTTGATACAATTTGTACTTCTGCTCCACTTTGATGCCAGTACCTTCTAATCTCCTGCCAAAACACAGTACACTGTCACACATAATTGAATAGTTTCCTCAGCACAAATGTATGTATCTTTACTTCTTTCTGAAGCTACTCTCCCCCTCCCTTAAAAGGGGAAAACAATGCCTAATCAGATGAATAACCGAAGCTTCTAGGAATACAGGTTTTTGCTGCTCTCTAGTGGGCACACTCTTAAAAATAAATAATAAAAAAAAAAATCAACAACATTTAAAAATTCTTCAGCCCCCTTCCTACTGTCACCACTAACAATTCTTCATGCCTTCCAACTTAAGTGGAAAATAACTGAATTTCCGTATTTTCTAACAGGAAAGCTAACTCAGCATCTTCAGCAACAATCCATTCCAGAAGGAAACAGAACTGGATTATCCTTGCCTATGTCTCACTCTCCCATTACCTATGTGTAAAAAAACAGACTGACTATGTGAATACATTGTAGATTAGATTTGCCATCAATGGGATGAGATGTCAATTACCAACTGTAGTTAAATCACTTCATTTCTATAACGAAGTGTTTTCACTTATAACTGATCTCAAAGAGAAAAATACCATACGACTGTCCTCTTGGAGAGGTAAATTTTTACTGTCTCCAAGTAGGCCAATATTTCTCTCAGAAAAGCATTATAGCAATTAAAAATAAGTCACAAAGAAACCAGTCAGGTCTTCAACTTCACTTGAATGAATACATACATTCATAAGACAGGTTGACAGCAGCATGCGATAAGAGAATGACAACTCTGAAGTAAGCTGATTTTCCAGAGCCAGGAATATCTTTCAGGTATGATGCATTTCCAATCTACTACCACAAAACCTCCTTTAAAACTACTTTACCCAAAGAGGAGGAAAAAAAAAAGTTTTTACTTCTTAGCCCATGATTTCCATGGCACTTTTCTGTAGTTTTGTGTTTGTTCTTTTTTTAAGTATTACAACAGTATTTGGATGAAACCACTAGCACGAAGCTCCATACCAACTAATGAAAGGTCATCCCTGCAAATGATACGAGGCTTGGGAAATGAAAAGTACAGACAACTAAATGAATATAATGAAGGTTATGTAAACAACCAATGACAAAGCCAAGAACAAAAAGAACATGATTTGGAGCACCATCGTAATTTAGTGCCCTCTATTGCGTTTCCTCACTGCATCATGACCATTCTACATGATCATTCCTGCTTTAATGTGACTGTTTACTGTAACGGTGAACAGTAAGACAATACAGTTATAGAAGAATGTGTGTGCATTATGACACGTCATAGAAGTTATCAACAGCATATTTCCCATACCTCAATCTGATTTAGTAAGAATATTATTAACAGGCTGAGAGCTGGGTTTGTTCAGCCTGGAGAAGAGAAGGGTCCACAGACACCTTAGAGCAGCTTCCAGTACCTAACGGGGCCTGTAAAAATGCTGGAGAGAGCCTTTTTACAAGAGCATGTAGGCAAAGGACAAGGAGTAATGGCTTTAAACTGATAAATTAGATATTAGGAAGAAGTTCTCTTCCCTGTGAGGCTAGTGAGGCACTGGCATAGATTGCCCAGAGAAGCTGTGATTGTCCCTGGTAGTGTTCAAGGCCGGACTGGATGGACCTTGGAGCAACCTGGCCTAGTGGAAGGTGTCCCTGCCCATAGCAGGGGGCTGGAATTAGATTATCTTTAAGATCCCTTCCAGCCCAAACTATTCTATGATTCATCGCTAGTGTTGAACACAATCGTATAATTTCTCAGGCTGAGACTCTCAGTTTGACAGTTTGGTATTTCCTTTAAGAAGTCTCTCTTCCATGGGCGTTGCAGTCTGGAAAGCCCACAGTAAGAGTAACGCAAGCTGGTGACATAATTTAGAGACAAAGTACACAGCTTGAAGAAAATTTGTTCCCAAAAGCTCCAATATTAATGCTATATACAAAATATGAACACAGAATTAACTACACGCTATTCACTTCACTTTCAGAAGTCTGTACGATCAGGTACCTATGGAAACAAGTCTTTTTTTGTCTCTGTTGTCTTTCTGAAGCAGAAAAATAGCACAAAACCTTTATTTTTAGAATCGCATAAAAACCTATGAATCACTATAATATTTGCTAACATCCTGAAAAATTACTTCAACCAGGCAGTTTAGCATAGAATACCTTCAGCCAAAAAATTTTTGGTTGGAAATCATATGTTGAAATACTGTCTTTCAAAGGATGTTAACAGAAAGAAGGTGTTACAGCAGTTAAACTTGTGAGGTGCTCTAAAGAAACCAAAACATCTCAAACCAAATTTCATTAAGAGTTACAATTTTATATCATAAAATCACAAAATGGTTTGCGTTGCAAGGGACCTTAAAGATCATCCAGTTCCAAACACCTGCCATAGGCAGGGGCACCTTTCACTACGCCAGGCTACTGATATTTTCATTTATTTACTGAAAGACAAATAGTTTCTGGCCCCAAACATCAGCAAGGATAGAGGTTCTTCAGGGAAGACAGGCTGGGGAGATGAGGACGGGGTGTCAATGACCAGCTGGAGTGCGTAGATCTCTGCCTGGGGATGGACGAGGAGCCGACCGAGAGTTCATGGGTCAAGGATTACAGTGAGGGCAGGTGCAGGCAACATCACAGGGGAGGGCGTCAGCTACAGGCCACCCAACAAGGAAGACTGAGTGAATGAGGCCCTCTATAGGCAGATATGCACAGACATATTCACAAGCTCTGTTCTTCATGGAGACTTCAACTACCCCAGTATCTGTTGGAGGGATAACACAGCACAGCATGAGCCCAGGAGTTTCCTGCAATGCATTGATAAAATCATTTGCCAAGTAATAAAGGAGACTAAGAGACAATAAGAGGGACTATGCTGGACCTTGTTCTTACCAATGCAGGGGGGACTGTGTGGATCGTGAAGTCCAAGGGCAGATTTGGCTGCAGTGACCACAAAACACACAGTAGAGTTTGGTAGAGTTTGAGATCCTTAGAGTGACAAGATGGGTGCACAGCAAGCTCACTACCCAGGACTTCAGGAGAACAAACTGGCCTCTTGGTAGATCTGCTTCATGGATTGACATGGGGTAAAGGCCTGGAAGGAAGAGGAGTTTGAGACCATCTAAGGAACCTGAAGGTGCACAAGTCCATGGGACCTGATGAGATGCATCCACAGGTCCTGACAGAACTGGTGGATGAAGCTGCCAAGCCACCATCCAGTCATGGCACACTGGTGAAGTTCCCACTGACTGGAAAGGGGATTTTGTTGTATTTCCTACAACTCCCATTTTTAAGAAAGGAATAAAGGAAGACAGATGGAACTACAGGCTGATCAGTCTCACTTCAGTGCCTGCCAAGATCACAGAGTAGATCCTCCTGGAAACTATTCTAAGGCACATGAACAATAAGGAGGTGACTAGTGACAGCCAACACGGCTTCATTAAAGGCAAAACAAAACCCTACTGTGGCCTACAGTGATAGGACTGCAGCACTGGTAAGAGGGAAGAGCAACTGACATGATCTACTTGGACTTGTGCGAAGTTCTGACACTATACCACGTGACATCCTTGCCTCTAAACTGGAAAGGCGTGGAATTGACAGACGGATGGTTCAGCACATAAGAACTGTCTGGATAGTTGTGCTCAGAGTTGAGGTCAATGGCTCCATGTCCAAGTGGAGACCAGTGACCAGTGCTGTTCATCAGGGGTCAGTAATGGGACAGTGCAACTACTTTTGTTAGCAACATGGATAGTGGGAGTCTATGGCACAGAGGTTGGAGCTAAATGATGGTAAGGTCCTTTCCAACCCTAACTATTCTATGATTGAGCACCCTCAGCAAATTTTCTGAGGAAACCAATCTCAAGGTGTGCACTGCAGTTGACACACTGGAGGGAAGGGATGTCATCCAGAGGAACCTGGGCAGGCTGGAGAAGTGGGATCATGTGAACCTCATGAAGTTCAACAAGGCCAAGTGCAAAACATGACCCAGAAGTGTATGCTTGAGCCCAGAAAACAATCGTGGGCTCGGCTGCATCACCAGCAGGTCAAAGGGGATTCTCCCCCTTTACTCTGCTTTTGTGAGACCCCACCTGCAGTCCTGTGTTCAGCTCTGGGGCTCCCAACATGAGAAGGATGTGTACTTGTTAGAGTGAGTCCAGAAAAGGCCACAAAGATGCTCCAAGGGCTGGAGCACTTCTATGGAAACAGGCCAAGAGTTGAGCTTGCTCAGGCCGGAGAAGGCTGCATAGAGACCTCACAGCAGCCTTCCAGTATTGGAAGGGGGCCTACAAGGATGCCAGAGAGGGACTCTTCATCAGGGACTGCAGTGACAGGACAAAGGGTAATGGGTTCAAAATGAAAGAAGGTAGATAGAGATTAGATATAAGGAAGGAATTCTTTACTATGAAGTTGGTGAGACACTAACACAGGTTGCCTGGAAAAATTGTGGCTGTCCCATCCCTGGAAGTGTTAAAAGCCAGGCTAGATGGACCTTGGAGCAACCTGGTCTAGTGGAAGGTGTTCCAACCTCTATGCCACAGGAGGACCTAAATGATCCTTAACATCCCTTCCAAACCAAAACATTCTATGATTCTATGAAAGTACAATTTCTGAAACAGAAGTTTCACTGGAAAGTGGAACTTCACCAGAACGACCATCAGGACTCTCAGTTCCACAAGATGTAGTTTCAAGGGATAAAGCGACAAGGCTAGATTATATGCAAGAGACAGTATTAGATTTTGGGCAGATGAGCGAAAGGGCTGTACTTGTAGTTTTTTTTCTTCTCCTGTGAAATTTGCCAGAAGCAAAAAAGCGTAATACAGAACAGTGCTGTCAGCTTTCTATTCTCTTATTCAGACAATTCCCTCAAACAATACACCTGACTCATGTCTGAACTCTTCTAGCTCAAGATATAAAAATGACATCTTAGGTCTTACAATTTCTGGATCACGCGTACACTTTTTTAAGCCACGACATTTCAAGAGCTGCACTGACTAATTCTTCTCACAAAGGCACCAAGTTTAACTTTTGTAAAGTAACAGCACTGGATGTCAAGCTTTCAGGACTACTTTAACAGACATTTCACCTATCTTTGTCAACGAAAATTACCAAAAACTAATGTTTTCAATGGAAAACAACGTGATACACTCAAGAAAACAGACAAACTACTTTATTAAGGCAATATTCTCAAATTGCAAGTAACGGGAAACCCTTGTGAAAAATCCCAGCTTCAAAACAAAGCAACATTATCTTCTATATAGTGCAGGTGCCAAGTTGTACTACCTTTTTTTGTTTGTTTTTAGCTCATCCACAGACCTACTCACAGGTACATTCATGCCTCCTGCAGGAAGATGCATTGAAAATGTATTTCTGACATCTTTCATAGAAGAGTATGCTTTAGAAAAAAGGAAGTTATAAGCCTAGATTATAATTTTACTAACATTATGAAAGCAGAAAGAATAAAGATCTTCATTTTTACTTTGAAATTCATTTCAGCATACAAATCATATTTCCATCATTATATGTGATTAGGAGCAACCGTGAAAATGCAAGAATTTCCAAGAGATGGCTCCCCACAACCTTGGGGAGACCAAAACCTACCACTCACACAGTTAAATAAATAAATAAAGCAAGCTAAATTTTAGACTGTCGTTAAAACCAGGGGTGTTCTACTGTTAAGCTAGCTGCTGTGACTCATTACAGGCCTGATCTCCATATGGTGATATAAAACATATCACAAGACAATTAATTAATGCAGTTTCACTAGTACACTGCAGAACAGCAGTATCAGAAGTCAGAAAATGCCTAACTTCTGTCAACCCATGATAATACTAAGTAACAGTAGCCAAATCATACCTTGCACTTCCTTGTCAACTGAGACCACAATGTTCTAATTAATTCCTTGTAAGTACCAGGACTGGTCTGTGAGTTATGGATCAAGAAGCCTGGATCCCCATATTCTCTTGGATAAGGAGGATTTCTCTCTTTTTAAAAACTGAACAAAAAAACCCACACACAAACCAACAACCACCACCATCACCACCAAAACGAAGGCCACACACCACCAGTTCTATTCTTGTATGGTTTTGCATGGAAGTTTTTTGTATGGAAGTCTATGTTTTCACATAAAGCTTTTAGACATTAATTTCATTACCGCTATTATGGGAAAACTGTTGATTGATCCGAGGCATCAAGAGGGAAAAGTTCAAAGCTCACATCAAGATAAATTTCCTTCAATGTCTAAACTGGACATGTTACATAAGAAAGCTTTTAATTATTAAAGCCTGTTGCAGCTTTTCAATAACACAAGAACTATGGTTAACTTAAGCTTAATTCACTGCCTCTCCATCAAGGATTCTCCATCTTCTTCAACAAGAACATGGGCAATTAACACAGCATTTTAGTATAGCAACTTCTGTCTTCTTTAAGTAATACTTTAATACAAAAGTACCATCTTAGGCTGAATTATGAACAGCATGGTAAAAATCGAGATGAAGGGACATCTTAAAGCTGTAACTGAAGAAAGCCATGGTGCTTCTCCACTTCCTCTTTAGAACCCAAAGCAATACTCAATATATCCACAGAGGAATTCAGGGAGCAGTCCATTTATAAAGTGCAGACTTTGTGTGTCTGTCATCATCATTATCTAACTCACCACAGATGAAAATGAAACCTAAATCAATTAGCTTAGTGCCTATAACATGCGTATATCCTATTGAGGCATATGGCCCAAACTGCTAACTGTAGAACAAAACGGTTTGTGGGGTTTTTTTTAATGGAAAATTACCTATTTCATGTATTTCTGAATGCTGCTAAGAACTCCTGTTTCATGCATTAGCTCTGCAACAGCACAGCTCTAACACCATATCTCTCTCACAAGATAACATAGGTAGAGAAGGCTGGAGAAACAAAACCGTTTTACTGTACAAGGTTCATCAAAGATTTTATTTCTGCATGGCTTGGACCATAAGAGCATTCAGGTTAGCTGTCTGACTGTAACTGAGAGATCACCTCTATCTCCAAGCTACTAGCTTTCAGAGCAGACGCTGCAAACACACCACAATGTGGCGTGTAACGGAGCTAAAGCATCTGACGTGGGAGTTAAGGGAGTCTTTTACCTTCACTACACGGAACATTCAACACGTATCTACACGAGCAGACGCCGCTTGTCTCTCCTCCCCCGTGACTGTTTGTAAGAGCTCCTCAGGAGCTCACAAGGCACGGCAGCTTTTCCTCAGTTTGCTGTCTAAACTGGCCCACCCCGGGCAGAGCAAAGGTAGCTCTCGAGGGCTGATGTGCCCATAACGATGGAGAGAGAGAGGACGGTGCTCCGCCACCGATAACCAAATTACCTTCACGGGCCACGGCCACCCAAACCCGCTTGTGAAAGGAAGAGCCGGAGCCCGCCACATCCTCAGGGGTCGACGGGCTCACGGGGCTAGGGGCGCGGGAAAGTTACCCCAGACAGAGCCACCCGAGGCGGCAACGCGGGCACCGGCGAGGGGCGAGTGTCAAGCGTGCACAGTACCGCGTCCACCCCTCATCACTGCCCTCCTCACCCAGCCGCACTACGTCTGCCCCGCGCCGCGGCCCCTCCCGCGTAGCCACCACTGCTCTCGGCCAACAAAGGGACGAGCTCCCGCCGGGCTCCGCCGGGCTCGGACACCGGGGTGGTGGGAGGGGTAGGGGGGAAGAAGGCGACTCCGCCCCAGCCGGCCCCTCCGCCATGTTGTTGAAAGGAACCGACGGAGACCCGCAGCTCCTCATCGCTCTCTTCCCCCCTCCCCTCCCGTCCCAAGCACCACCTCACCCACTCCCTCTCCTCATTTCCCTTCCTCCCTTCATTCCCTCAGACACGCGTGCACTCACCGGCCGCCCCTGGGAAGAGCGGCGCGGACACCACCAGGCACAACAGGGCCCAGAGCCGCCGAGCGGCCGCTACCGCCATGGTCCGGTCCCGAAACCGTGGAGCCAGGGCGCGCGCGCGCGCGCACCCGCGCGCCAGGATTCCGCCTATCGCGGCCCCGCCCCTGTGCTCCTCCCCCGAGAGACAAGCAGACAGCCGCTCACACTGCCCCTACACCTCCCCGGCTCGCTCCTACCGCTAAACTAACTGACGCAGCGCCGCCGCCTGATTGGCCTCTCTCCCCCCCTCCGCTCCGGCCCCGGCACCGCCCCCGGCAGCTGCGGAAAGCCCCAACAACAACAGGCGGCTGGAGGGCGCAACCGGTGCGTCCGAGGGGCGGGGCGCGGCGCGGCGCGGTTGGGTTGTGATTGGCGGTTGGCTGTCGGCGCCTTGTCGCGGTGCTGGTGAGGACCGGCGGCGGCGGGAACGCAGCCGGCCCCGTGAGGTACTTGGGCGGCGGGAATTGCTGTCCCTGCGCATGCAGCCTGGGGCGATGTGGCTGATGGCAGAAGCCGTAGCGTCTCTTAGAAACAGGGGCGGGCCGCGCGTTAGGGCGGTGAGGGAGCACCCGGGCGTGTGGCTGAGGCTCTGTGGCTGCTCTAACCAGCAGCCATCAGACACAGCAGGGCCCAGGGCCGCCGGGTGATCGCTGAAGCTATGGTCCGGTCCCGGGGCTGGGAGGAAGCGGGCGATAGCGGTTAATCAGACGGGAGGAGTTAGCCCTCAGTTTCTGAAGAAGAGGGAAAGCTGCAGTTACCCGAGGAATTGCTCCTCTGGAGACTGCGGGTGGGAGACGGACTGGAAGTATGCGGGGCCCTTTCGTTTATCAACTGCGATGCTTCTCTCTTACGTGATTTGTCGGATGGGTTGTAGATGTAACACGCAGTCTGACACCTTATTCCCTGCTAACGTAGCAGCTGGTGTATGTATGAGACAGCTCAGCGTTCCTGCTGCTAGTGAAGCCTGCGTCGCGATTCGGGAGTAAAGGATGCACCTTCCCGCAGCACGAAGATTATAGGGTAGAGAGCCTACAAGTTTTCGTACTCTGCGAGGGAAGAACAGCGCTAGTCCCCGTGTGTGGTTCCCGTCTTATTTCACAGTTTAACTGCCGGAGTTACTTGGGAATCAGAAACAAATTTGGACAGTCCAAATAGCTGTTTGAGGTTCTACTTTATCTTACAAACTAGAATCAACCCTTCGAAGAAAATTACATGACTGAGGTTGTTAATTCTGTCCAGAGCTTTATTAGCTATTGTATGGGTGACAAGAAAAGAGGAAAGGCTCTCTTGGGATCAAGTAACCACTCTCCCAGAAGTTACCTGCTTGCTCTAGGAATCTGCCCCCTCTCCCCTGACATCCTAGCTCCATTACATGGCTGTTGTGTTCAGAGTCCACCAAGTTCAGCATATACTTTTGTACTATTCTTTTTACTTGCTGTGTTACCCTCCAGTCGTAGGACGAGACACGTAGGTCACAGGAGCTCTGCCAAATGGTGACTTCCCAGTTCAGTGTTCAGGGCAGCAACCTCTGCAGTCTTCAGTGCCACATTCATTTCCATGTCACATTGATCTCCTGTCTCCTTTTTCTTTTTTTTTTTTTTTCAGTTGTTCAGCCAACACAGCTTTTATAAAAAGTCTTGTTTCTCCTACAGTACAGTTCACCTGGATAAGAATCTTGATAACGGTTCAAAGTGAGGTACATTTTTATTAATTCATTTTCTTTCCCTTCTAAGCAGCAACCAGCATCATATATAAGCAGACCCTAGTTATATTTTCTCTTGCAAAATCATATTTTAATGATTGCAAAGCTACTGAAATGGATTCTGTATGTCTGGAATCCCTCTTTTCCATGTTTCTGGATACTTAGGGCTGCACCTTCTGGTCTTAATTAAGGTGGTGTCTAGGAACTTTAGATTATGATATAGATTCTTGATGCTGGAAGGACTCTGGTAGCCTGTTGGATCTTGATCTTGTTGGAAGGTCACTGACAGTGAAAGTCAGTACCTACACCTTTCCCCATTAGCTGTCCCTTGTTTCTGTAAGATTCATCCCTGTGTTTTTCCATCATCTTTTTTCCACTATTGCTTCTGTAGTCAGTTCTTCCCTTCTAATATTTTGGTGTTCCTGTTTCTTCATATGAACTTCGTAATTGCTTTTAGTTGGTCTGGGTAGGACTGTATCTTTGTGAGGGTTACGTGGGAGGTACTTAGATTTACTGTTTGAGATGCACAGTACCTGAAGTTATATATTCTGTTTGATAATTAATCACCTGTCTTTTTTGCCATATAAGATGGTACAGTTACATAAAAAATACAAAATAAAAATGATAGCCTATGAAGAATTTAATAATGGGCTTCTGCCTGTGTCTGCAAACAGTTGAATGCCAATCCAAAGAAAATGAGATCTTACATATGACTGCACCAATAAGGCTATGTTAGACCATGACACAGTCAATAAACAGTTTCTAAGATACACTTTTAGTAAAGCAACATTTTATTTAGGAAGAAAATAACTCTCCTGTGACTTCAGATTTTTCAAAATTACAGTAATCACTTGGCCTTTTTTCTGCCAAAATAACCAGAAAAAATAATTTCACTGTAAAGATCAGGGTGATAAGGAATTCTAATGAATGTTTCAGCAAGAAAATATGCACAGTTAGTGCTAGAACAAGAAGAAATAAGGTGTTGCAAAACTTCACTTGCAGCTTTTACTGTTTTCTCTCCATGGTAATTAGCTAAATTTTATATGCTTTTAAAAGAACTATTGAGTGCATCATGGTATTTAAAAATTATGTTCACCAAGGAACTCAGCAAGAGGAAAAATACTGAATGGGTAGTGTTCACCAAGACAACAAAGTAAGTGATATTCAAAAAACCACCACCCAAAACATCACCACTACCCCAGCCCCACCCACCCCACCCCTCAGTCCTCGATTTTCCCAAGCAGTTTTCCTACTCAAAACTGGAACAGAAAGGATCAAAGTGCTTTTTAGTGTGCAGTTTCTATAAGTCTACAAATCAGAAAGTTTAGGAAAGATTTGAGATCTTGCTAAATTAGTCAAGCAAATGAAAACACTTTAAGTCACTGCTTTATAAAATATCCAGAATTAATTCACTTTATAACTTTATGAACATTGCCTGATTTGCCTCATCAGTGCTTCCAAAACTAAATACAGTGGGATTTAAACCCCACTTAATCAACTCCATTAATAAAAAGCCAGCCAAAGCTTAAGATGTGTGAAACCATTTTCGCTTCTAGTTCACCGTGAAACATACCAGATCCGTATCTCAGAGTCACAAACTGAACAGCCTAATAATACCCTGCGTCAGTATGCAGTATGCTTGATCCCTCCAGCTAACACTTGCCGTATTATACAGCTAATAGGCTTGTGGAAACATTATAATGTTGCAAGTTCTTACTTTGCAGTTCAGCATATCTCAGTGATGACAGTTTTGTGCTGCTGCTGTTAAACCGCTTGAATTTAGTTGTTCATTCCAGCTTGTAGAGTCCATCAGCTGCTGAGCTTGTTTCCTACATGTATGATATCCTACTTCATTTGAAATTAGGTTTAAATGTGTTTAAAGAGATCAGTGTTGATTAAAGAGAGGTCCAGATTATCCTGAAAGCAGGGAAGAAGTACATAGTGCAAGATGTTGCTAAACACAGAAGTGACTAAGACCAGTTAGCTTAGGGAGGGGTTGCCAGAAGCAAACAGGCTGACATCAACAGGGTCTGGAAATGACTTTACAGTGCATGTCATTATCTATTTGAAGGCCTGATATTGCTATAGCAACCCTGAAATTGCCTGAGTATCTCACCTGTGACTATAGAGAAGGATAGATGCATTAATGTAGCTTGCTTCTAATTAGGATATTTTGTTTTTTTCTGTGGAAGTACAACTTTTTTTCCTGCCTGAACAATACTCATACCCATATGGTATGGGGCAAGTAATAATTTATATCATTCTGCTTTTCAAGAAAGGTCAGTTTCCTCCTACACTGACACCAAATTTGAGATTGGACTCGGTTTAGACTTCAGTAGGGAAGGAGCTGCATGTGTAAAGCACCAGAAGTTAGAGTCTCTCTAGCAATGCACAGATCACAAAGTTTTCCTATTGTGTGTTTGATGAACTTGACTTTCTGTTCCATTGAATTAGAGATCATTACAGACAAGAAATTTCTTAGAGCAGGAAATGGATGTTGTGTTTAAGTTGCTAAGATCCCAAAGCATTAAATGGAGGATCTAGATTCCAGCTTAGTTTACATATCAGTCCTCCTTAATTTTTTTTTCCCAATAAAACTTCCACTCTGTTGTTAAAATATTTTCTTAAGTGTAAGTCCACAATAAAAAAGAAAAACAACCAAAAAACTGAAAACCCAACCCACAACTTTCAGTAATGATGTAAACTCCTGATACTGATTTATTAGCCCTGCAAACTGGAAATGAGAAAAGAGAGTTTTATTCTAGAGCATGTTGTAGGAACGGACTGTTTCACTGCAGTTTTTCTAGACTTGCTATATATACCCGTCTCAGTCCCATTCTTCAGAACTTGTGACTGAAGGTTACCTGAAGTGGTATGTCAGACTTTCTATTGCAGTTAGGTTCTGCCTGATTGTTTCAAAATCCTGTTTCTGTAGTCTCTCCTAGCAGTGTTTTCTGTATATTTTCACGTGTTCATTTGCAAACAGTAGCTGAGTTTACTCCAAAGGTGCACACTAAGAAAATTATATGGAGATTTTCTGTAGTGCATTCTAAAAAGGTGCTTTTTCCTTTAAATCAGGTAATGGAGTTTGTACCTACTCAGGAATAAAAAATTTAAAAGAGAAAAATGGACCAAAGGTCTATCTGAATAAGATGACAAATTGGTCAGTGAAGAGAGATGGTGGAAATCAGTTGTAGAACTTTGTTCTTTACCCGTTCTTGAGCAGTTAAGTTTCTGACTTTTCTCCAAGAAAGTCAGACTTTGAGATTAAGTAAGTCTTTCGTTATTTCTCCATTTTCAAGTGACATTATTAACAGGAAAGACTTTTGCCGCTGGACCTATAAAAAAGAATAATTTTTGCTGTTTTCATTTCTGAGTTAGTATGGGAATTCTGAACAACATTTTTTTGGTTGCAAA